CTAGAAGCCACATATTTATTTATTTAAAATTTTATTTTTAAAATGTTATGTGAGTGTTTTGTGGGCGTGCTCAGGGCAGAAAAAAGTGTCAGATCCCCTGGAAATGGAGTCACAGACAGCTGTGAGCCACCATGTGGGTGCTGGGGATTTAACCCGGGTCCTCTGGGAGAGCAGCCAGTGCTCTTAACTGCTCAGCCATCTCTCCAGCCCCTATTATTCATTTTTAAGACATGGGTGACCTTGAACTACTGATCTTCCTGCCTCTGTCACTCTAGTGTCAGATTTCAAGTCGACACTCTGGGTTCATGCAGCGCTGGATATTGAGCCCAAGGCGTCCCGAATGCTAGCTAGGCTGCCACTCCATTAACTGAACTTCGTCCCCAGCAGTGAAAGCCAAATAAAAAAAGGGAGGGGGGAGTGTTAATATATTAACTTAATATACTCAAAATCTCATTGAAACATGGTAGCACACGCCTTTAATCCCAGCACTTGGGTGGCAGAGGCAGGAGGATGTCTCTGAGTTTGAGGCCAGCCTGGGCTACAGAGTGAGATCCAGGACAGCTAGGACTGTTACACAGAGAGAGAGAGAGAGAGAGAGAGAGAGAGAGAGAGAGAGAGAGAAGGAGAGAGAGAAAGAGAGAGAGAGATTGATTTTGTACATGGTTCGGTTTAGGAATGTTCAAATGCTCAGCAAGCACAAGGCTGGTGACATACTACTGTGCAACATTGCAGGTCTCCATAGAGACAGCGACACAGAGTCACAGCTCTCTCCATGTCCCTGTCCTTTCTCCTATGGTTTACTCTTGGGACCAATGCTCTGCCATCTGAGTAGGAACCCTCTGCTGCGACAGTTCACGTCAGAGCTTGGAGTCTTCCTGCCTGCCCTGGCCAGCCCTCAGCTGGAGCTGATCTGATTTGATCTGACAGTCACATCAAGGGAGTCAGCTCCTGTTTTTTCTTGCAGTGAGTCAATTAGCCCTTGAGCCTTGGTGCACACGTTGGCCCCACAGTGCTCATCTGTTGCCTGGAGGGCTTCCGCGGCGGAGTGGAAGCACTGTGGCACAGACCGGCTGCCATCTGGGCACCTCCAACCACCCCACCCCACCTCCCACGGCCACTACCTCCTGGGAAGGGCCCTGTCTCAAAGGGGAAGACAGCTGTGTGGACACAGGTCCAGGAGAAAGGTGGTAGTTAGCGTGGACCTTTGGGCCATGCAGTCACTTAAATGGTCCCTGGTGAGACAAGCTGATTGCAGGCAGGGATATTAGTGTTCAGAAGGAAATTGTCACAGGAATTAAAGTGGGGGATGGAGGCCGAGTGGGTTTGCTCCTCTGGTGCTATCTCACTAATCATGTGGTGCCTAGGCCCACCTCGTTTCCTCCCGTGGCCTTCTTCACCCCTCATTGCTACTGCCAGCCTCTTCAGGAACAGAAGACTGAATCTTCCTCCCTAGGTCAGTGGCCAAATTCAGTAGCTTCTCAGTGAGATGGGGCCAAAAGATGGTTGGGCCTCTCCCGGTGCCCTGAGGCCCTGCTAGAAATAGGAGTTGACTTGGCACTTGATGGGAGGAAAACGCCACTAAATCAGTGTGACCATGCAACAGTCAGGCTGACTTGGTAGGAACCACAAGGGCCACTCAGTGGCCTTTCTACCAGGAAACTGGACGGAAAAACAACCAGGGTGCCATGGATTGTCCAGTGACCTCTGCCAAGGCTTAGCTGCAGGGCTGACCAATTCTGGTAGTGGTCCAAGAAGGGGTGCAGTGGGTAGGTAGTCTGGCCTCTCTGAAGCTAGCATTTGAATCTTCTGAGGGTCCTGATCGTGCATGGAGCTGTAGGGGCCCATGGGGAACGAGCTGGGTGGCACCTACATTTAAAAAAATATCAGATGCAGGCAGTTATGGTGGCTCACACCCGTAGTCACAGCACTTGGGGGCTGAGGCACAAAGGTGGATTGCCAGCTTGGGCTACATAGCAAGAGCCCATCTCAAATTGAAAAGAAAATGAAATCAAATGAGTTGCCTGGTGTGAATGTCTCCCAGCTGCCCCGTGGGAGATAGAGCAAGGCCCCGGGTGGCCCCACCTCTCCTGGCAGGCCGAGCCATGGGTGGGGGCCCGGCTGATAGCGGACCTCTGTGCAAGGGGCCCAGGTGTTAGCTAACCCCAGCTCTAGGACCCGCTGAGCCAGCGCCTACATATGAGTTCTGTCGGTCTGTTTCCCCGGCCGGTCACTTCCCCACCTGGGTGTGATCGCTGCTCTTTAGCTGGGCGTGTGGGTGTAACAAGTCCAAACCTCCGTGGGAGTCGCGCGGGCGCCCCGCCCCTGGGTTGTGCCCTCTCCTCCCAGACTGGTTGTGCAGGAGCTCGCTGTGCACGTCGGGGCGGGCACTGGGGCATGCGCGGGCCGGGCCTGACCGGGACACCACACCTGCAGGGAGGGGCCTCCCAGAAACTGCCATCCCCGACCGACCGCCGCCCCACCTCTCCAGAGCCCGGCTAGTAGCCAGCGAGGACGCGTCGCCTTCCCGCCCTCCGTCCAGGAGAGCCCAGCCTGAGCCGGCACCTGCTTCACCACCATGTTCAAGGGGCTGAGCAAAGGCTCCCAGGGGAAGGGGTCCCCCAAGGGTTCCCCAGCCAAGGGGTCCCCTAAGGGCTCCCCCAACAAGCACAATCGGTGAGCGGGGCCGTGGGTAGCGGTGCTGGGATCAGGGTGGTGCAGGGCCCAGGTGTTCCAGCTACCTGGGAGCCCAGTTCTGGCATTTGGTGTCCTGAGGCCAAGGGCCCAAGGGTAGACTCCCTCCTGCCTCTGGCCCAGGTTGAACAAGGGATGGATAGATAGCCTGCTGCCGCCCACGTTCTCCTGAGGGGGGATGCGGGGGAGGGGGCAGGGAGGAGGCTTGCGGAGGTGCTGGACAAGGTGACTTGGAATGGCAGGGTCTGGCTCCCTGTTTGCCACTCAACTCTGGTGGACCACTTGGATGGGATAAGTCTTGGGACGTGGGCACAGGGTGGGCAAGACCAAGAGGCTGGAGAGAAAGGTTCCTGGGCTTGGCTACATCCCCCACCTAACACACGACTTTCCCCCAGGGGAGTCAGGAGGCCTTTTTCGTGGGGGTGAGAGGAGGTGGCACCATGCATGCTCTGGTCACCAGCTCTCTGCAGAGACTTGGCCATGTTCTTCCCGCTCACTGGCCTCAAGCCCTGTGTAGGAGGAGGTAGCAGCCTGCCTGGAGTCAGGTGTTAGGGTGCAGAGGTGTCAAGATAAGAGCAGAGATGAAGGCTGAGGTCTGGGTACCCATTACCTCGATAGGGATCGGGGTGCCAACCCAGAGGCTGGGCATCTGGGCGGACAGGAAAAACAGCGGTAAAGACTCTCACTGGAGTGACCTGTCCCCCTGAGGCACTGAGCCCAGCCCAGGGTGGAGTGCAAGTTCCCAGTGGAAGCACTTCTGTTGGGAGGTCCAACCTGAGGCACAGAAGCCTCCTGGCCTTGAGTTCCTGACTCCTGTAGCTCCATCCACACATCCCCCTGGGGGCTCCTGGTTCCCCTCAGAGGCGCCTACTCATTCAGCCCTTCTTGACTGAGGACCTGTGGTATGTCAGGTCTGCCCTAGGCTCTGGGGATGCCCTGCAAGAGAAACAGTGATGTCCCTACCTTCAAGGTGCCCACATCAGTGCAACCAAAATGAACGTGTTGCCTTTAATCTCAGCACTCAGGAGGCAGAGACAAGTGGATCTGTGAGTTGGAGGCTAACCTGGTCTACATAGTGAGTTCCAGGCCAGCTAGGACTACACAGTAAGAAGATCCTGTCTCAACTGAACAAAAATGGGGCTGGAGAGATGGCTCAGTGGTTAAAAGCACTGGCTGTTCTTTCAGAGGACCTGGGTTCGAGTTCCAGCACCCACATTCACAACCATTTGTAACTTCAGGTCCAGAGAATCCTTGTTTGGTCTCCACTGGCACCAGGCATGCACGTGGTACACAGATATACGCAAAACATCCACACCCATAAAAATGAAATAATATGAACTAGATGCTGTGAGGCTCAGAATTGGGTGCTTCTCATGACTTAATTCTTCAAACGCCTATGAGAGCTCTGTGTTCAGGGCCAGGCATGGTTAGTTCCAGCCCAGCCTGGGCTACAGTGTAAGGTTTGGTTGTTGTGAGTTCTTGTTGTTTGTGTTTTTTTTTTTCTTCTTCTTAGAGACAGGGTCTCTCTATGTAGCTTTGGCACCTTTCCTGGAACTCACTCTGTAGCCCAGGCTGGCATCGAACTCACAAAGATCCACCTGCATCTGCCTCCCAAGTGCTGGGATTAAAGGCGTGTGCCACCACAGCCCGGCTGTTGTTTGTATTTTTTTAATTTTATAATTTGATTTAATTTTACATATCAGCCACGAATTCTCCTGTCCTCCCTCCTCCCACCC